TTTCTTTTGATTGGTGAACTGAGGCCATTGACATTGATATAGCTGATATCTATTGACTTATCATCACCATGTTATTTTCCTGTTGTTGACTCTTTTTAAGTTTCCCCCCTCCCTTTAAGGTTTTGCTTTGCCTGATGGATTTGCTGTGTTGGGCCTCACGGAGTTGTGACCTTCACTGCCTTTTTCTAGGTTATTGTTTACAATTGTTTGGAGTGCTGGTTTGTTATTCATGAAGTTTCTCGGGTGTTCTTTGTCATGGAAGTATCTTGTTTCCCCATCAATTTTGAAGAATAGTTTTGCACCATACATCAGTCTAGGTTGGAGGTTGGTTTCTTTTAAGGCTTGAAATACCTCACTCCAGGATTTCCTTGACTTGAGGGTTTGTTTTGAAAAGTTTGTTGGGATTCTGATAGGCTTTCCTTTACATGCGATTTTTTTCTTTTCCCTAACTGCTTGTAATATTTTGTTGTTCTGTTGGGTTTCTGGACGCTGATTATTATATGTCTAGGTATAGATTTTTGTTTTTTTTGTTTTGTTTTTGTCTTTTTTGGTCATGGCTAGTTGAAGTCCTATATGCCTCACTTATCTGTATATCAAGTTCTTTTATTCTGTTAGGGAAGTTTTCTATCATTAATTCTGTGAACAGTTTTTTATGTCATTTGTACTTTCTCCTGATTTTTCATGGACTCCTCTCAGTCTTAATCTTCTTTGCATCATCTAGGAGCTGTTGGATTGACTTCTCATGGACCTTTACTATTTTTAAGAGATCTGTCTTTTCGTGGTCACTGAACACCATCCTGTCTTCTATAGCTAATACTCTATCTTCAGACTGACTCAGTCTGTTGTGTATGCTTTCAATCTAGTTTTTAGTCTCCTGGATATCTATTTCAATCTGTTTCATGGATTCCACTTCTTTCCTACGTTGGGCATTCATGGTTTCCATTTATTTCCTATGCTGGGCATTCATGGCTTCTATCATGGTCCTGATTTCATCTATTCTATTTTTTAAAATCTCTTCTGTTCTAAGTCTCTAATCATGGCTTTGGTTCTGCTCTCCATCTCTGCAGTTATCTGGGAAATTATTTCTGTTTTGAATTTTTCTAGAGCCTCATTCATCTGTATTGTTATGTCCTGTGCTATCAGTTCAGGGTGTCCAGTCATTGATTATCGGACTTTTTCACCTGATTTCCCTTATAATTTGCCTTTGGTGAGTTGGAAGTCTGTGCCTGTGCCTTGCTTAAATATCTTTTCATTTCTTTTCTTTTTAAATTAATTTTATGGGTACATTTAATGTATACAATATAATGGCATCCATTGTTGAAAATTTGTAACTTTATATAACCAACCTTGGTTCTTATTTTGTCCCCATTCCCCTGCCCTCCCTTCAACCTCTCCTTCCCTCCCTATCTACAAAGACTTTGTTTCCATTATTTTTCATTTTCTTATATTAATTCCATTCCCTTCTTTCCTTCCCTTTACCCCTCCCATTTCTCCTTCCTCTTTGTCCCTTTATTTTTGTTGTTGGTACTGTCCTTGGTTTAATTCCTGGGTTAATAGTTCGATCTTCCTAATATAACTGATCTTAAGGCTTTGAGTCTCTAATGACTCTGAGGAAAACTCATTTTCATTTTCATTTTCCCAGGAAGAACAGCTGATTACATTAATCACAAAACCTCTTAGCCCAAGTGATACAATCAGCAACACAATAGTATCAAGCACAGCTTGGAAATTGACAATTTGTGGTAGTTACTAATCTATCACCTTTAACTTTGTGGATTAAATCAAAATTGAGGACCAGCTTAAAATATGTTTATAGTAAATGAACTCTTCAATATAGCAACTTTATCCTTCATGATGGGGACTTGGAAGGAGTTGAGAAGAGAGGGATAGATAGGTAGAAGGATAGGGAAAGGTTAGAAATGAGGCCGGAGGATGCAGGAAGATCACACAAACTCTAGGAAATTGTTGAACATAAGAGGAAAAGACAGAATGAAAGAACAAAGACAAGAACAGAACAACCTAACAGCAATAGCGAAGCTAGAAACTGTGTTCACTTTCCTTTGAAACTAATGACAATGGAGGGAAGGAAAAAGAGAGAAGAAAAGAAAATGAAGAAGTCTGAATTAGGGCAGGAACAGGAACAAAACGGGAGATGAGAAACAACGTTGGATAGTGAGAGAAAGAAAAAAGAAAATTTTGAACAGAGTAGAAAAACATTGAATATAAGAAGAAAAGAAAAAAATACTTTTAAAAATAAAAATAAAAATGAAGGGCCTCCAGAGTATGTCTCTGCTGTCACAATAGACAACATGAGTAGCACTGTGCAGATCTAAGTCAATTAATCTCAGCAAGCCAGCAGCAGACCCTTGAGATTCCGGATGATTTCTAGTTGCAAAGCTCAAGTTGAGCTCCCTGACTTCCTGCAGAGTTGAAGTCTGCAAGTTTCTACTGCAGGTTCCATCTGCCCTTCCCCTGAGGATAGTCCAGGTTCTTATGGGAGGTGATGATCCCTCCAACTTACTGGCCACGGTGGTCTGGTGGGCCTTTATTGCAGATTCTCTTCACTTTCCCAGTGGGCTTCAATTTTCAAGGAGTCTGAGAGAGGCCTTCTTTCTGTTATTCCCTTCTGCTCTATTTTCTGGAGCTCAGAACAATGGCCTTTGTGACCTCCTATGCTTCTGGTGTCGATCCAGGTGCCAGCACAGCCAAGAGGCCAGAGGCAGAAGGGGAGAGTTGGGATTGTGCTGCTCAAGTTCTAGAAGAAGCTGGTGTTATTTTCTCCTAAAAATCCTGTACTTTTTGAATAAATGGTTTCTGCTGTGTCACTTGTTCCTGGCAGAGTCAGAAATGTTTGACTACACAGTACTAAGAGACTATGTGTCAAACCAAAAGGTGGGTCCTCTTGAACACAACAATCACAAAACAGGATGGGCCCAGAGCCAGTCCCCAGTACATGGATGTAGTATATCCAGACCCAAGCATGAGCGAGCCATGAGGAGGAAAGCAGCTGTCTGACAGGGTATTCAGCCTACGTCACCCTTAACAGACCTTCCCAGCACCCCTGTGGCCATGTCATGATCCTATGTGGTGCGATTAAAGTAGAAAAGCACGGCAAGAAGACAAGACCTGGTTGGCTGGTCAGAGACCAAGCATAGAAAAGATTGAAAGAGCATGGACAAAACATTGGGAAGGGGGTTCTTATATGAACCCAAAATGAATACAAAGTGTAAAGATCCATGCCCAACTGAAAGTACTCACTCTAAAACATGCACTGATCAACCGTGTAGAGAAATGACTCAACCAGTGGATGTCAGCCAACGTTTGTACAACCACTGCGGAACTGGCGCGTTGGTCACTTAAGTCAAGTGGCTGCAGTGACAGAGTGAGAGGCTCTGCATGCTTCTAACAGCATGGATCTCCACATACCAAAACCCACTATGGCCACCCCTAAATGTTCAGTTGCCAGGCAACAGAGACCAGCTTGGCCCCAAGTGTGGACGGCCCAGATGGTGACTTGAGGGGATAAAGGCTACAATTCTAGAATTACTATGCGCTCTCGTAAAAATAGAGAGTTGTTCTGAGCATGAATGGACTTGCTCCTACCACACGGCCTCACCCAGCAGTTATTTCAGGAAACCACACGAGTGTTACCAAAAGAATTCATTGTATAGCAGAAGAGGTGTGGGGTTAGCTCATACTCGTAAGAGTCACAGGTTGTACCACACGTGTTAATACCCAGAAACTTCCAACCCAAAAGAGCATTAGAATGGCTTACTGCAGTGTCACATCTGAGACAGTGCACAGTGAAGATAAAGTTCTGCAAGTTGTGGCTTACACTGAAGTAGAGATAATTCTACATTGCTGTGTTCTGAACAGAAATAGCTCCACTTATTGATACCAAAGAGGCTCTGTCAAAATCTGCCTCCCACCCTCACAGCTCTGAGATGTAGAGTCAGAGGTTCTGACCCCCAACAGGGCACGCACTTTCCAGCAGAAACAGGATCCCATGGGGCTAATAGCTATGGCTGCCACCAGGGAAGAGCAGGCAAGGGTCATCAGCCTACCATGAGGCTTGTCTGCTGTTGTGAAATAAATGGAACATGGTACCATTGGTACCTTCTTCTTTAAATAGGCAGTTTCTAAATCCCAACCTTAAAAGTGTGGTTACCAAAGGCTTACCACCTTCTGTTGAGGTTTTACGCATTCGAGATTATCAGAGGCAGTACCTAAAGGAGAAGAGATTCTAGAATGAACAGTGGTGAGAGCTACTGCACGCATGGGGCTGTGGTTCTTCCAACAGCTTTTTCTGCAGCTCTCATGATGAAAAGAGGCCCTTCGGAACGATGGAGGAGCTGCTTGCTACACTCACGCAGAAAAGGGGTAAACTGCCAGGGAGGAAAGGTCTTGTTCAGATTCTCCTTTAAAGTGGACTTGCTACTCAGTGGTGCCACACTACCTGGCAAGCGCAAGGTCTTAAATTCAATCCCCAGTACTGAAAAAAAATTATAAAATTAAAATGGACTTGCTGCCCCTGTAAAAAGTATGAAGTTAGGGCTGGAATTGAGCTCAGTGGTTCCACCACCTGCTTCGCAAGTGGAAAAAAAAAAAGAAAGGAAAGAAAAAAAGTATGACGTTAGAGGACAACTGCCAAGTCCAGTTCTTTCCAGAGTCCCCCTCAGCTTTCACTCTAAGGTTGCTCTTTCTCAGGACAGCCCTTAACCTCTTGTTGAGCAAGGAACTGGTTTAAAGACCAGCTGTTATCCTGAGACTATTCCGATGGAAAACTTTGCCTGGTACTGATTATTTTCAGATTCCCGCTTTCCAGCCCCATCCTGCTTTCTCCCCTTTTCCTTTCCTGGGTATAATTACTCACCAATACATCGTCCGCATTCATTTTAGTATCTACTTCCTAGAGAATCAGCCCACGCCTTACGCTTGGAACAAGCTCTCCTTTCTGACATTTAAAAAAAACATTTGCATATGGTGTACTTTCTTCTTAGTGGCACGATAGAGAGAACCATGCCATACAATGAGGAGCCAAGGCCGTGGGTCTAACAGCACACAAGGAACGAGGCCTCTCAGACCAGCTGCCTGCAAGCAACTGCAGCCTGCTGATAGACACAGTTCTGAGCCTGGGAGCGGACCTTCCCCCCAGCCAGGTCTTGAAGATAACACAGTCCCAATGGCTTGCCTGCACCTTCTTCAGGTGGTAAGCAGAAGGTAGCTGGTTAAGCTGCCCCACTGATTCCTGATTCAAAGAAACTGTGAGTTTATGATCCACACTTGTGCTTTTGTGCTACTACATTGCGAGGCAATTGGTTATCGGCAATGAATTAGTTGATACAGTCCCTAAAAGAGCACGATCACTTGTTTCATTATGTACTTATTTATTTTGCTTATTGGCTTACTTGCTTAAGCAAGCCAGAAGTTTACCTCTCTGAAAATTAACAGTGCACACATGTACTTATATTTGTATTTAGATTACGCCTTTAAGTTTTTATACGTTTCAGAATAGTGTTGATTATTCTTCTGTGTTTTCAAACATGTCCGTCACAGGCTTTGTCAAAGCAGTTCATTGGTGTAAAAGGTTTTTGTTGATGCTGGATTTCACAATACTTAAAAAGTGATTATTGCTAATACTACTTTATAAATGTTTCAGTGCACGCTGGACAATCTTGCAATACCAATTCTAAACTGAAGGAAATCTTTCTAACGTTTCATTCTTTTTATATTTTTAGTGCTGTCTCATACTTCACGGCAGCATCTCCAACCCCTTCATAACCCTTCCTCTACCATGAGTAACTTACTGGGAGACATGTAAGACTGATACATAATTAGTAGCCTGCTTTTCTTCTCTTTCTTTCAGAGTTCTCCCTCCTTTTCACTTCTCCTCGCCCATCGGCCGTTTGATGTGGCCGTGTCTCAGAGCCAGGTCTTTGGACTTTACACCGCTCAGCTCCCGAGGAGGCTCCAACCTTTTCTCCTTGCTATCACACCTTCAGGCCCAATTTAACCAACTCTCCCTTCCAAATCCCTCTCACCCTGTAGTCTGTCTCATCGTCTTTCGGGGCCACTTATTCCTACAGTAACTCAAAAGAGCCTTTCTCATATTCGATAAAACAGAACCTACTCATCATGTGAACCTCACCGTATACTCAGAAACTGACCCCTGCCTACCTTTCTGTCACCATTAGCCTGTGCTGGGTTTCTCTTCTCTCACTTGAAGCATCCCAAGGACTCTAAAGTAATTTCCTGATTCCACTCTCGTCTCTGTACACCCTTCCCTCGATAAAGCCAAACTAAAATGTGATTTAACGAACTATCTTCTCAGACTTTCCCTTCGCTCTCATTTTACAGAGACAAATTTAACGAGGGGCCTTCCTGTCAGGCGCCCAGTCCCATTACTGTGCAGACCCCGTCTCCTGCGACACTGTCCTTAGCTCACCGCCCCTCAACCCTGCTGGCCTCCTTGCTGTCCCTCACCCCAGCCAGGCGTGTCCCTGTCTCCAGGCTTCACGCTCCACCCCTCCTGCCTGGCCAACGTCCTCTGAGATGTTCGCACGAGTGACTGCATGGCTCTTTCACGTCTTGGCCGAAATATTACCCCCGAGTCCATCTGTAATCCCCTGACTTTAACTGCAAACCCCTCCCCATCCTTAGAACTCCTTCGCTCACCATTCCTGTTGGTTTCCCTCGATAGCAGCACCCCTTTTAATGTAGCATGTAAATTATCTGACTTCCTCACCACCACCCCAGAGGAACGTGAGCTGCAGAGACAGCCACTTCTGTCTGTTTTGGTGACTGTTTTATCTCAGTCTCCGCAGCGTGTGTGGCAAATGGTAGATGTGATTTGTTGATTCCATGAGTGAATCAAGAAACACTATTACAAAGCGATTACCTAAAGTTTAGAAGGCAACCCCAAGAAGAACTAAAACACACAAAAACGTGATGAATCCCTCCTAGCAATGGGCCCGTGCCTAGCAGGGGGCTTTGTGGCTAGGAATGCTTTTCTTTATAAATTCTCTTCTAAAATTTCAGTGGTTTTACCATTTGCGTGTCTTATTGTGATACAAGTTCAGAAAACTCTTAAGTAAGCCACTTTGGGTAAAAAAAAAAAAAAATGAGAGCGTAACAGTACAGGAAGCCTAGCCAACAATAATTTGCTTTATAGTAAATTGCTCCAAACCTGTTTTGAGAACAAAGTATTGAATCTGTTAATGGTGCTTACAGATGGTACAAAATAAAATTCTTTTGGGGGCTGGGATTTAGCTCAGTGGTGCTCCCGCCTGCCTCACAAGCACAAGGTTCTGAGTTCGATCCCCAGTACCAAAAAAACAAAAAATAATAAAATTCTTTTTTGGCATTAGGTATAATTTTAAACAGAGTATATTTTATCATGGTTTTTTTTTTTTTTTTTTTTTTTTTAGGCCTCACTATGTAGTTGAGACTGACCTGGAACTCACTATGTAGCCCAGGCTGGTCTCGAACTCACAGCGATCCTCCTGCCTCAGCTTCCCAAGTACTGGGATTACAGGTGTGCATCACCACACCTGGCTATTTCATCATGTTTTAAAGTGACTTCATTTTATATGATCAAATATTATATTATTGCATTAAGTTCCACATATTTCATGGTGGATATAAAATGTAGAAAAATGTCATCATTTAAAATTTTATATAAAATATGATTTATTGCATCTTTAAATAAGGGTAGAAATAAGAGAAATAATTTTTCAGGCACAGATAACAGGCACATGTGAATGTTTGCTAATTTCAGGAGGAGACAGGAAGGATGGAAGTAACAAAACATAATTTTGTCCAAGGCTGCAAGTGACATAAATCCAAACAAGCGCTTTTTCAGAGTCCTTGGGTTTGTTTCCATCCAGTGTGTGCTGTGCATGAGAGAAGGCTGGATCCTACCGTGGCAAACTGCCATCTTTGTAAGAAGCAAAGTGCTGTTTACATTCAAGGCACATAATAAGCGCAATGTGAAGCAAAAAACAGTGTGAGTTCTATTATGGCTGATTAGCCCATTGTACACTGTTACAACTAATGTCTTCCTGTGCTAAAAATAGTGTGAAGTCACAGGACCTAGGCAGCATGATCCACTGGGCTGCACTCTCACAAGACTGCCAACAACAGCTGCCTTAACTCCCTAGAAAAACAAAGGGGCCACTCGTGCCCTTCAGTGCCCTCCCAAATATGGAGTTTATCTGAACTGTTAAGGAACCTTTCAGAAAATGAGGTAGAGAGAATGTGCAGCTCCTAAAAGCACATCCGTCTGCTGGGCAGTTTCCTTTTAATGAACCAGATCCTTAATACGACCTTCATGAAAGTCAGTTGGTTGCTATTAAACTTGCATGGTTAGCTGCTTCTTAACAATAGTTCTGGTAAAATTAGTGCATATTTTGATGTATCGGCTACTGGTAACCCAAATAAATAAATAAAAGCGGGAGGGAGTGGTGTGAATAAACTCTGAGTCCTGGGTCATTTTATCACCAAGTGAATAGCCCTTCTTGAAGGGGGGAAAACAAACTGCTTTCTATTCTATTGAAAGCCTGGAAGAATTTCCACTGCAGTAATCCTAAATCCAGGGGCAATCTATTAAGAACTCAGCCTTACCAATCCTGAGACTCAACTGATAAGCGCCCCCCACATTAATCCTCTTAAAGACTGTGCAAAGTAATGAAAGGGTGCAGTGAAACAGGCCCCCCTTTTCATCCCGACCCTACAGAGTGCTTGTGTAAATGCTTCATTAACAAACTGCTGGACCAGTATTTAATATCTTTTGCCTCCCTCCCCCTGGTCCTCTTGGTATAGTTCTCCTGGGTACAGCATGACTAAATGTGTGATTTACACACGTCCAAGAGAAACATTCCCACACTTGAATGCTACATGGGGACAAAAGGACCGAGGGGCTGAGAGAGGTGTTGAACGTAACGTGGACATTTTAATTTACAATTCTATCTTTTATGGGCTTTAAAAGATGAATGACTTCCCCCACTTACCAGTTTATGTTTCATTTCTCAGTGTTCTTCCTTTGTTGTTGTTGTTGTTGTTGTTGTTGTTTTGTTTTTTTGGTGCCAGGGATCGAACTCGGGTCCCCACGCTTGCAAAGCAGCTCCCAGAACCACTGAGCTAAACCCCTGGCCCCTCAGTGTTCTTTCTTGTAAGTATCAGGTGTCCACGTAAGTGCCCTCAGTCAGATCATTTGAAGTTGGTCCTTCTAAAGGCATAGTTAGATGTTCTAATGTTCTAAGAAGAACAATAAGATACAGTACAATGTGCATCCAATGTGCAAAGACCATCGAAGGCCAAAATAAATGGCTTACCTTTACTGTTTTATTAGACAGAGTCGTGTTAAGTAGCTCAGGCTGGCTTTGAACTCGAGGTAACCCTCCTGCCTCAGCCTCCTAAGTGCTGGGATCACAGACATGCACCACCATGCTCAGCTCCTCTGTTAGTTACTTTTCTCTCCTTGCTGAACCAAAATACCCAACACCAAAAGGTGGACGGGAAGAGGTTTATTTTTCTTACAGTTTGTAGAGTTTTCAGTCCATAATCAGCTGGATCCAAGGCAGGGATGGCAAGTAGGCACTGCAGAGGAGAAAGAACACGGTACGCATGAGGTGGCAAAGGTAGCCAGGGGTCACCAGCATCTTTCTGCCCCTTTATCTTATTAGGGCGGGCAGCACGCACACCCTTCATCCTAGTGCCCTGGCACCTAGCACTGCACCATGCATCCAGTCTGTGACCACATGAGGCTTTAGGGGGACATCTAGACCCCAACCATAACGCCTTACTTTCACTTTAAATGATTCATTTGTGGAATACGCGTCCTCTGTGGGGCTTTTCTCTACAGTCATCTAATGCCGCCCATGGTGCCACATGCCTGCAGTCCCAGGACTTGGGAGAAAATGCATTTCCACTCATGATACCCTGCGATGGTTCTATATTCTGATTCTATATTTCAAATAGCAATGCAGCCCCTTGATAATAGTAGTGGGCTGCTCTGTGCATGGTTCTTGTAATTTCAGTTCACTATAAGCACTGCTAGCCAGGGGTGAACTTAACCCAGTTTGGGGACGAACTCTCAGTGTGTGTAGTTTTATCCACAGCCACAACTACAGTCTGGTTTCACAGTGAATGGACTCATTTGACTCAACAATGCCCTAGGGGATAAAAGCTTAAATGTATTCAACCTTAGGA